TAACTCGAGGTATTTACGTAGGTCTCTTTACCTTCTATACAACTGTGACTGACAGCATTTGTTTTCATGTTAATCGTCATTTTCTCCTTGTTGGCCTATCCTTTCCGAACCACATGCAGCAATATCTGTGTTAAGAAGATATATAATGGCTGCTAAAGAAACGCTTAGAACTGTAGTGAGTGAGTGAAGGAGGGAGATTTTACACCGCTTTTAGCAATATTCCAGCAATATCACGGCGGGGGACACCAGCAATAGGCTTCACACATGGTACCCATGTGGAGAATCGAACCCGGGTCTTTGGCGTGACGAGCGAACGCTACAACCACTAGACTACCCCACCACCCCCTTACAATTGTACGAAAAAACAAATTAATGCATTTCTGCTTCAGACAGTACCTAAGTCCTGGTTTGGCTACATCAATTTCATAATGCTACCTTCTAATTTTTAATCGTTCCATTTCCCTCACTGTGTGTTTGTATTCATCATTTACGTTCCGAATCTGCATTATAAAAGCTTTTCGTCGCCATTTGGGTAAGCGGGATGTGTTGCGTGTTATCCAGTCTCAACAGTGTGGTATGCGGGGCGCAAATAACATGGTGATTTGAAAGTAGGTTTAACATTTTTATGAATATAATGATGCACGGAAAATAATTCTTTTTTTTTATCATAAGTTTTATCGATTATGGTTTAAGTAATTTACAACATAGCGCACCTTTTCCATATCCTTTGTAATTTTTGTTGAAAAGGATTAATTATTCAGTTGTGCTCAATGAGCGTGAAAACAAATGGTATTCGGTGTTCGTGATTCCCATAAACACAATAAAATCCTTCATTATGTATTTTTTCTCGATGTCATTTTCAGTAATGTTACAACAAGTAGAACGTTTTCTCGAGTATTTTTGTGATTAATGTAATATTTGGGGAAAATAATTATTGGATTCTATCGGGATTCAGGATTTGGGGATTGCGGAGCACCCTCTTATAACCTCGCAATCTTTGACAACGCCAGCAGTTATCGTTGTATGGATACTTCATCATTTCATGGCGCACGGGACATTTTTGTTCAGCACTTAACGTTAATATATACGTGTTTCTTGACAACAAAATGGTTCTCCTTTCCTAAATAATTCGTTATGGAGTGGTTTGTTAGTTCGGGTCAAGTAGACCCGACATATTAATGTACCCCATCAAATTTACACGAGTGTTGGCAGTGGAAAATCGTTCACTGGGTTACCGCGATTTGTGAATACATTTCAGCAGCATGTCAATTGCTGACTGGAGCGTGACGCGTCCTGTCTCCAGACCAGCGCGAGACGCGAGTCCCACGTGCAGCACGGACTCTGAACATTCTGCGTGGAAGCTGCACCGGTTGAATCGACATGTGTGGATGGGTGCGTTCCGATTGAATACTCGTCACGAACGTCTTTGAACCCATCCTGTTCCTAAAAGTGCAATGACTATGCGTAAACGAGAATCGCCGAGTCATGCTGATTGATCCAAAGAATACACTATACGGCATGTTTTAGCGTTGGTATCGATTCATTCACGATACACCCGCTTTATGCAGGTCACCTTTGAACTTAACGCGTCATTGGAGACGGGTCGTAGAGGATAAAATACGATTTATTTACCATGAAGCCCCTTCTAACTGCACAGTGATAACGGCCTGAGTGTGAAAAACAACCGGGACAGCAGCGTTTCACGCAGTGAGTATAAAGCCAGTGAGATGTAATGATTGAGAAGTAACTTTCGACATCTAAGAATGATAGCATGCCTGTTCTGTTATAAATGACCACAGTGGTCGAGTAGATAGACCGTCTGTCCCGCTGGTGAAATGTCGGAAGTTAGAGTCCCACGCCAGGTCATACTGAAACATGTTAAAATGATGGTAATTGTTGTTACCCCGTCTAGGGGCGGTGGGGTAGTCTAGTGGTTAAAGCGTTGGCTCGTCACGCCGAAGACCCGGGTTCGAATCCCCACATGGGTACAATTTGTGAAGCCCATTTCTGGTGTCCCCCGCCGTGATGTTGCTGGAATAATGCTTAAAGCGGCGTAAAACCAAATTCAGTCAGTCAGTGAGTGTTACCCCGCCTAGTCTTGGTATAAAGAGGGTAAAACAAGGACTAGACGGCTCGGAGTCAGTTTATTGTGACTGAATGGGGTGTCCACGTTGTTACGTGTTAATTCCCATGTCAGGCGCGTATCAAGCCGATGTTTTCGTGTAGTGAGGGAGTGAGTTTAGTTTTACGCCGCACTCAGCAATATTCAAGCTATATGCCAGTAATATGGTGGCGGTCTGTAAAAAATCGGATCTTGACCAGACAATCCAGAGATCAACAGCATGAACGTCGATGTACGCAATTGGGATACGATGACATGTGTCAACCAAGTCAGCGAGTCCGATCCCGTTAGTCACCTCTTACGACGAGCATGGGTTACTGAAGATCAATTCTAACCCGGATTTTAACGGGTAGATTTTTTCGTGTAAGCCAGATAGGTTACAAAGCTTTATATTTAGATAGTAACAAAAACATTCACAAACATGTCGATGGAAAACAATAATCACTGAAGGAAAGACGCCTTTCAGATTTATGATATGAAGAATAACATGCATGTTTACTGTACATGGTGACTGTATTGGTAATGCTTTTTTCTATCAAATAATATTCTAGTCAATTTGATTGATATATTTTTTGTTCTGATTACGTGTTTGTAGGTATTTTCAGCAAGAATTTTAAAAAATAATTTTTTAGCAAAAATTATGTGTTAGCCCGGGTTTATGTTTTATAATGGTAGCTACGCCCCTGAATGTTGAGGCTAAACGTTAACCGGGAATCAATGCGTAAAAAAACCTAACAAACAACAATTAAGAAATGTGATGTGATGAAGCATTGTATTCTAGAGTTAACTGGAGTTCAAGAGAAACGTATCATCATTGTAGGAACATACTTTAAGTTCCGGACGAAACGAACGCACGCACGCACACACGCCAAGTCGGTAATCGCGAAACCCCATTTCACTTCACCTATCTTATATTAATGGGGCGGAATAAGGAACGGAGAGATGCTAACGTGATGGAGAATAGTTGTTTCAGTGACACGTGTTATGTGTTGGACAACAGCGGTGAGGTGAGGTGAAATTGGGTTTTACGTCGTGCTTGAGAATATTTCGCTCATATGACGACGTGCATTCGTGTGTATGTGTACGTGCGGCTGCTTGTTCTAGCCCAGTCTGAAGCTGGTTTTATAGTGCTAGCCCACTGAGATACCATGCCGCAGTGAAGCATGAATACCCCACTCAGGCACATTATACTGACTCCGAGCCGACCAGTCCTTATTGTACCCATTAATGCCGGGGGGTCGGTGGGGTAGCCTAGTGGTTAAGGCGTTCGCTCGTCACGCCGAAAACCCGGGTTCGATTCCCCACATGGGCACAATGTGTGAAGTCCATTTCTGGTGTCCCCCGCCGTGATATTGCTGGAATATTGCTAAACGCGGCGTAAAACTAAACTCATTCATTCATTAAAGCCGAGCGCCAGGCAGGGACCAACAAGTACCATATTTTAACGTCTTTTGGTATGACGCGGTCGGGGATCGAACCTGCGACCTTCCGCTCTCCGGGCGGACGCTCTAACCACTACACCACGGAGGCGGTCTGGACAACAGCCGGAGTCTCGGGCACTAACCGATTATATAGAGGATATTTTGTTAATGTTATCAAATAACATGTATATTTCATCGAGTGGTCTGACAAAGTTGATATGTTCACGAGTGGCGCAGCGAGATGAAATATACATGTTGTTTGACAACATTAACAAAATATTCTATTTATTATATTTTGATCATTGTTTATAAATGATCGAGACAGCGAGTAAGTCTGCATTTTATTACGCAACCCAACTACAGTCTAGCCCTTGAGCAGAAAGTATTTCCAGGCAAAAGTGGTATTCAACTCAGTGAAATGACATGTTATTCTACTCAGAGAAAATACCATTTTTATTTTCACCAATATTTACAGTATTTCACCCTCAAGAATATAATAAATTTAGATATATACGTTTTGGCGATAACTGCCGTAACCCCCGTGTATTAGTATTAGTAAGTTTGTATCCGCTCTGACGCCTAACAGGCAGCTTGGGTTATCCGGGGTAATAATGTGCTGTGCCTTGATTGTTAGCGCTATAAGCATACCCAGTGTGGAGTTTGGCGCTATATAGATGGACACATTATTATTATTATTATTATTATTATTATTATTATTATTATTATTATTACTAACCCTACCCTACCCTTTTTATTTTCACTATAACACCAATTTACACTTTGACATTTCAAGCGGGGATTAGGGGCGGAACTCTTACCAACTATCCATTCCTTAAAAATAATGTGCCCTTGTGCCATTGTGTTAAAGGAATGGAGAGTTTATCACCTCACCTGTTGTCACCAGCAACCCATGCTTGTCGTAACAGCCGACTAACAGGATCGGGTGGTCAGGCTCGCTGACTTGGTTGACACATGTTATTGTATCCCAAATGCGTAGATCGATGCTCATGATGTTGATCATTGGACTGTCGGATACAGATTCGATTATTTACAGACCGCCGCCACATAGCTGGAATATCACTGAGTGCAGCAAACAAACGAAAAACACACCCGGACATTCTCATCTACGTTACTTGATATACGGAGCTTGCTATGGCGTGGCATTGTATCATTTCGACACCGGGCGTACATGTGATTGTTACAATGCCTCATTCAAGCTATACAGTCTCATTAAAGTCAGGTGTTAGTTTTCCCACCGGTGAACAAATATATAAAGAAATACCTTCATGTGTCGGTTCAGGACGACCGTTCAATGAGAGCGTCACTGTTATTCAGCAATATTCCAGCTATATGACGGCGATCTGCAAACAGTCCAGTCACAAAAAACAATGCTGTAGCAACCCAGTCTCGTCGTAAGATTGATCGTGCGTCGTTACTAGATTGTGTAAGAGCGGCTTTCAGGAATATAAAAATGAACAAAAACCCATGTCACGGAAACTCGTGACGCAATGTTTTCCGTGTAACTTTACAGAATGAATTTCACTCGACGCAAAGGGCATTCGCTCGTTGGATGAGAGATTTCAAGTACGCCCTAATTCACGTGACTCTTGGTGAATGAAACGTCACGCAGGGTCACAGCATGTCACACGATGTCACATATGTTATACACAGGCAAGCTTACGCTGAATAAGCCAATCAAAGTAAGCCACAGAGATAGCGAGTCTGTGTTTCAGATACACGGCAATGTGATCGATTAGTCCATGTCTAGATGGCCATTGATTCAAACTTCACAAGGAAGTGTGTGGCGGATTCTATTTGCGAGTACAGTGTAGTGTAATTTTAGCCGGAGGAACATGTGTGTAGACGATAGAGGTGAGTACTTGACCGTCATATGCATGCGGATATTCCGTGCAATGTGTGTTACTGTAGCGTTCTTGTTTTATCTGGACATGGGGAAGTTGTGTTTAATGCAAATAATTGTAACACGTGGTGGAGGTGAGGTGAAATTGGGTTTAACGTCGTGCTTGAGAATATTTCGCTCATATGACGATGTGCATGCGTGTGTATGTGGGGGCTGCTTGTACTAGCCCAGACTTAAGCTGGTTTTATAGTGCTAGCTCACGGAGATACCATGCCGCAGTGAAGCATGGATACCCCACTCAGACACATTATACTGACTCCGAGCCGACCAGTCCTTGCTGTACCCATTAATGCCGAGCGCCAGGCAGGTACCAACAAGTACCATATTTTAACGTCTTTTGGTATGATGCAGTCGGGGATCGAACCCGCGACCTTCCGCTCTCCGGGCGGACGCTCTAACCACTACACCACGGAGGCGGTCAACACCTGGTGGATATGGGCATAGATGCTCTTAGACGCCCAATATGAAACGGGTGGTCAGACTCCGTGACTTGCTTGAGTGTGGTCGCTTCCCATGTGCGTGGATGGATGCTCATAATGTCAGTCAGTGGGTTATTTGGTCCAGACTTTATCATATCCATACCGCCATCTCTCTCACTCACCCGCCGTCTCTCTCTCTCTCACCCTCTGTCTCTCTCTCTCGGAATATTGACGAGTGCGGCGACAGATTGACTTCGAGTGATATTCACGACTGTCTCTCTCCCTCTCGACCCCCCCCCCCCCCCTCTTTCTCTCTCATCCTCCCCTCTCTCTTTCTCTCGATCCTCCTCTCTCTCTCTCGCACACTCACTCGGAATATTGCGGAGTGCGGCAACAGACAAACAATGTGAGATTGGCTTCGACTGATATTCACGACTCTCTCTCTCTCTCTAATTCTCTCTCTCCCTCTCATTCTCCTTCCTCCCCCTCTCTCGCACTCACTCTCTCTCTCGCACATTCACTCGGAATATTGCGGAGTGCGGCAAGAGACAAACAATGTGAAATTGGCTTCGACTGATATTCACGAATGATAATATACGCGCCGAGTAGTGCTGTATGCTGAGACTGGACGTGTCGACCGGTGGTCATAATATCAACCACATGTCTGCCTGTCCAGATGTCCCATACCTAACTATTAACAGCCCGTCCTCATACAGCTTGAATATGACTGATAGAGGTACGTATACACGAGGGATAGAACTGCCATATAGGACACAAGACCGATAATTTAGGTGTGTCTTTGTAAAAATAAATGTGCCCTCCCTTCTGATGATCCAGACTTGAAACATCGGAACAATCATGCAATTTCAATTTATGGTTTAATGAATCCGTAAACATCATGTAAACCTGTACACTTGAGAGCAGGATTTCCTGAACACTATCATTTTTCCTGGGCCCATAACGGATAACCCAACCCACAAACTATGTTATCATCCAAAACGGATTTCCTGTCATGGGCCGTGGAATTCATAATGGCCACGCCCATGTTAAGCTCTGAAATTCAGTGTACCAATAAATATTTTCATCTGGTTTTCAATGAAAATGACAAATTTATTCCATTTTCCATTAAATGAATCATGGTGGGTTTTATTTGTAATAATTTAATTAGGTGTGCCGCCAGGGCACTGAAATATTTCATCCGTGCCATTTCAATATGTACCGTGCAATGGCACACAAATCAAGCACAATTTCGATCACTGTAACCTCACTATTATGACACACCTGATAAACACGTCTCTATGACATTAATATTCCGCACACGTTTGTAAACATTATTATCTCCAATGAACAGAATTCGATAAGAGACATATTAAAAGTTAAAATACTCGACAACGCAGCGCAAACAAATTTGAAGTCCTGCGTCTGCCACGTGCGTACCTAGTACCACGTTCAATTTGTATGCAACTAATATTCATATTTTTAATATAGTTGACATGATGAGAATCGATTTGCATGTGGCAAAAATATCAATATCTTTAAAAATTGGAGTAATATATATTTTGTATGCATATGTAGAACGTGACGTGTTGCAATATGCTGCCACGAACATTTACTATGTAAATCTGCAAGTAGAGATAAGGTACTGTTTTTAAAAAAATATTCAGATAAATGTCAACGTTAGCCGGAAACTTGCGTGTGGAGCTTCCCGGATTGTGTTTAATGTTCGTGTTGAAACAAACTTCATGCACCCTTCGTCGCCAGAGGTAACAGATGTGCACAGGTGTGACTCATCCTCGGTCGTCCAGTGCATTATATCTCGAGGTTGTTAGGTATCAATTACCATTTGCTTACACCTTTTAACAAAGTCTCGTTGATACGTTATTCAATGTTGGACAGAAAGTATTAGATCGGCACTTTCGTTCACATTGTGCTTCCATTAAATGCTTCTACGATTAAACCTGCGAAATATTTGACAATAAATGATCAAATTCTTCTATAAGCCTCTGTAAGTTAAGTTTATCTTTACATCCTTTGAAAATACAACATTTTAGGAAGAGCTAAGACACAGATTATACAAATATTATTTGTACTCATTGTAAACCTAGGTTTATGATAGACGAGTTCATGTCCTGTTTAATCTGCGACGCAGAGACCTAAAGTAAGCTGTATTTTTCAACGTTAATTTAGCAAATATCCTGTAGGTCACATGGCTACAACTATCTTTCGTTGAATGTCGCGTTCAAGGATGGTGCACTTAAATAGTTAAACGAACGTGTCGTATTTCTAGAACTATTACTGGCCTGACTAATCTGTTTTTATCCCACTCAAACAAAACATGTGGAACATATACCGTTTGTTTGACGCCTCCCACGCAATATTCCAGGCATGTGGCGGCGGTCTGTAAATAATCCAGTCTGGACCCGACAATCCAGTGCTCAATATCATGAGTATCGATCTACTCAATTGGGATACGATGACATGTGTTAACGGGCCTAAGCACCCGACCCCTTTTGTCGCCTTTTACGACAGGCATGGGTTGCTGAAGACAAATCTATCCCGGCTCTTCATTGGTTTCGCTTCTTACGCCAACACGGGCCGATGAAGACCATTCCATCCCGTATTTTCTAGGGTCTGATCTTATTTTTGGGTAATGGGGGACGAATCTAAACTGGATCTTCACGGGTTTGTGTATGGATACTTCACCCAAACCATGCATGCTGACTCCGTGCCGACCAGTCCTTAGCGTCAGGCAGGTCATATTAAATGAAGTACCATCTTTTAACGTTATTTGGTATGGCACAATCGACGTTCAATTGTTTTTTCTAATTTGTGTTTGGGCGGTGGGGTAGCCTAGTGGTTAAAGCGTTCGCTCGTCACGCCGAAGACCCGGGTTCGATTCCCCACATGGGCAAAATGTGTGAAGCTCATTTCTGGTGTCCCCCGCCGTGATATTGCTGGAATATTGCTAAAAGCGGCGTAAAATCAAACTCACTCACTCACTCTAATTTGTGTTTACATATTTTTTGTTTCAGGCGTGACGTTTCAACAGAGATATGAATGAAGACGGAATTCTCCTCTCCAAAAACACAAACCATGACCTCGCAACCCGAGAAGAACCACCTGGAGGAGAAAGTTTCTGGTCGTCATGGCGGGAAACGCTGGTGGTGTCGGCATCGTTCATGTCGGCGTATACTGCTTACCTAGCTCTACAGAGTCTGCAGAGCAGTCTGAACCAGGAACAGGGACTGGGAGTAGTGTCGCTGGCATGTCTGTACGGGACGGTCATCCTGTCCGGAATCCTGACCCCGTCCTTTATCAAGCTGGTGGGACCCAAATGGAGCCTGGTGGTGGCGTGGGCGTGTCACTGTGTGTACACAGCCTGCAACTTCTACCCCACATGGGCCACCCTCATCCCAGCGTCAATTGTTGTCGGGGCCTCAGCCGGGCCGATGTGGACATCCCAGGGATTATACATCACCGCTAGCGGGATGCGCCTGTCTAAGATTTCAGGAGAGAAACTTCATGCTGTTTTATCCAAACTGAACGGCGTGTTCTTTATGTGTTACGAATGCACGCAGGTGACCGGTAACCTCATTTCATCCCTCGTGCTCAAACAAGGTTCTCTCACACAGTCCGACAACGTGACCCAGATTTGTGGAGCAGACGACTGCCCCACTTCCGGTAACACAACAACGGACCTCGCTGAACCGGAACCACACATAGTGTACACTCTCCTCGGAATTTTTCTGGCGTGTGACGTCATTGCGTTGGTCCTCACACTGTTTTTCCTGCCCCAGTTTAAAAAGACTTCGACCCCGGAAGACAGTACCGAACAGCCCCCGGGTATTGGGCGGACGCTGTTGTCGTGGTTTACGGCCTTGTCGGATCCTAAGCTGCTCCTACTTGTCATCTTCTTCTTGTCGTCAGCCATGAGCCAGGGCATTCTCTTTGCAGACTACACGAAGGTAAAACAATCTCAGAAATTCGACTCGTGAAGATCAGGAATTCATCTTCTCGTTAGAATTGATCTTCAGTATCCCATGCTTGTCGTAAGAGGCGTCTAACGGGATCGGGTGGTCAGACTCGCTAAATTGGCTGAAACATGTCATCGTATCCCAACTGCGTAGATCGATGCTCATGTTATTGATCACTGGATTGTGCATCGTAAAACTATACTCACTCACTCACTTAGAAATCCGTGTTTGACTTACGAGGACTAATGGAAATCCTGTGTGAGTCAGTGTGTCTGTCTAGTACTCCTATGGACGAGACAAACAATTCACAATTTTACGTTCTCTGTCAGATTGTTTAATCAATTCGAATTTGTAACCAACTTGAGGCCGTGAGATATAGGCCATGTTTCAGAAAGTAATCTTACAAATCTCGACTGTTTATCTCAAAGTGTGGGAGTAACGGTCACTATTGTGCTCGGGTCGTTTAGTGGAAAGTGCCCCTGGTTCAGAAAAGTAATCCGGTCATATCTCCGTGAATCGGTGAGTCAGAGGTCATTCACTTGTCCTCAGCACAGTTTAGTAGTGCTGGCTAAAAAGATCGATAATCGGAAATACCGTCGATAGGAAAAATATGAATGATTATCAATATGAAAATAGTGTCCTCGATACTATCGTACAGAAATTCTTGTGAGATAGTATTTTATTCATGGGCTGCTTCTAAATTATGTTAAGGACGCTGGTTTGTTAGTAATCCATGCATAAAACTTCCTATTGCATTTTGCTCAAAGTTGATTACCAATTATCGATCTCTGTGATCTATATCGAAAGCCAGTCCTACAATTTAGCAGTGTCTGGTTAGCAGAAAAGCGCGAATTACTAAAGCACTGCATTAGATAGGGAGTGGGTTTCATCAATGTCCCTTAGGGGTGTAGTCGTGAGTGAATGGGATTCGCACATTGTACCCATGTGTGGAATCGAACCCGGGTCTATTCCGTGACGAGCTAACGCTTTACCCACTATGCCACCTCATCGTCCCGTGGAAAGCCTGGAGTGTTTCATGTCAGGTGCAGGTAAACGAGGATACAGAGTGAATTACACATTCCTGGTACATGTTCGACACGCAACTGAGGACAGCAAATTACCATTTTCTCGGCATCTCTTCATTCATGTCTATGAGATTTAGTTAACTGCTTTTTCAGTGAGTGAGGGGGCGGTGGGGTAGCCCAGAGGTCAAAGCATTGGCTCGTCACGCCTAAGACCCAGGTTCGAATCCCCACACGGGTACACTGTGTGAAGCCCATGTCTGGTGTTCCCCCGCCGTGATGTTGCTGGGATATTGCTAAAAGCGGCGTAAAACCAAACTCAGTGAGTGAGTGAGCGAGTGAGTGTTATCGTATTGTGCACGATATTCGAGTTCAATAATAGGTCCACGAAGTCGACAGCTTGTCCCAAAATTACAGATGCATTTGAACACGAAGTTTTGATTCAAATATTATCTTTGTAAAAGGGGGTGTCTTGCAGTAAGAACTAAACTACAAAGAAGAGTCACCATTGTGTCAACTGTGGATAACCTGACCTACTTCCTGGGATGCAAATTAAGCCACTCCTCAATTCAAAGCAAGTGCATGACGAATGAACTGGGTACAACGACCATGTCAAATTGTCTAGGTCAAATGCTTTGTTAGAGTTATAACGCCGCCTGACCACCCGGTCCCTTTAGTCGCGTCTTACGACAAGCGGGGTGGGGTAACCTAGTGGTTAAGGCGTCCGCTCGTCACACCGAAGACCCGGGTTCGATTCCCCACATGGGTACAACACGTGAAGCCCATTTCTGGTGTCCCCCGCCGTGATATTGCAGGAATATTGCTAAAAGCGGCGTAAAACAATACTCACTCACTCCTACGACAAACATGGCTCGCCCAAGACCAATTCTGACGTCTAATAATACGTCCACTATTATTATGAGCACCAAAAATTATTTATGCATTTTTTTGTGAGAAATGTCCAGGTACTATACTTTAAGACACGACATGGGTGGAAGGGTAGCCTAGTGGCTCGTCATGCCAAAGGCTCGGGCTCGATTCCCTACATGGATACGAAGTGGAAACCCATTTATGGTGTTCCCGCCGTGATATTTCTGGACTATTGTTATAAGCGGTAATAGAGGAACCCCTGTTGCTGGACCATTGCTCAAAATACCGTAATAACGCTATGGTCTACAGATGATGTATCGCTTTTCCAGAATTTATCAGAACCGATTGAATAGTGAACCGAATCTACCGATTTTCATTTAACTATTTATACAACGTTCACCTCTACTTTGGGTCCGCGGGGTAGCCTAGTGGTTAAGCGTTCGCTTGTCACGCCTAAGACCCAGGTTCGATTCCCCATATGGGTACAATGTGTAAAGCCCATTTCTGGTGTCCCCCGCCGTGATATTGCTGGAATACATGTATTGCTAAAGGCAGCGTAATGCTAAGCTTGTTCACCTCTATTTTGCCTTAAACGCCAAATGGAATCGTTCTGGCCGATAATCGAGACTGGTTAATCTCTGGCATTGACGTTTAATATTTGCTTTTTCAGGCATTCATCAGTTGTTCTCTGGGAGTCTCTATGGTAGGGTACGTGATGGCGTGTCATGGCGTTGTCACTGCTGTTGTTGCCATAGTTACCAGTCAAGCAGCTAAATACACCGGGAGATATGTGTTGTTTGGCGCGTCCATCGTGTGCAACGCCGCTATGCTCCTGACGTTGGTTCTGTGGAAACCGAGGAGCGACTTCATTGGACCCATTTTCATCATACCTTCACTTTGGGGGATAGCTATTGGAATATTCCACACACAGTTTAACAGTAAGTTTCGTTTGTTCATTTGTTTAACGCCGCATTCAGCAATATTCCAGCTATTTGGCTTAGGTCTGTAAATAATCGAGTCTGGACTAGATAATCCAGTGATCAACAGCATGAGCATTGGTCTACGCAACTGGGATACGATGACATGTGTCAACCAAGTGTCACATCCGGTCAGTCGCCTTTTACGACAAGCATTGGTTACTGAAGACCATTTCTAACCCGGATCTTCACGGGTCCATGAAGACCCAACGGTGGCTGAGTGGGTCAGAGGAGACTAACGAACCCGGGCGGTTAGGCTGGCAGACTTGGTTGATGTATTTCATCGTATCTCAGATGCGTAGGCCGATGCTAGTAATGTCAATCACTGGATTGTCTGGTCCAGACTCGATTATTCAGAGACCCCCGTCATATAGCTGGAATATTACTGAGTGCGGTTTAACAACAAACAGAATGGTGATGTGCTTTTGGTTTAAGTACTCCTCGTGGTTCCTGGTTCCAGACCCAGATGACATAGGCATGGGTTTGTCGGAGACCTTATTAGTGTTAAATATATTGCTGGAATAAAATAATAATACGTAATAAAATCTTACTCAATTTCTTCCACAGCTCTGGTTGGACTGATGTTCCCCGAGAAACAGGAAGCAGCATTCGCCAACTTCCACACATGGAACGCCATCGGTTTCACGATCACCTTCGCCTACGGCGGTGCGTTGTGCGTGCGCGCCAAGCTGTACGTGTGTCTTGCGCTGTTCGCGCTCGGAAGTCTGGGATACTTCCTCGCAGAAATCCTTTTCCTACGACAAAAGCGTGAAGCACGAAAAGCGAGCTCACGGGCAAATAACTCAAATTCAAGTTTAGAATTTTCCTAACAGGGAATACATGAAGTTTGGTATGAAGTTAACAGCCTTATTGGATAGCATTACACTGGCACGGTTTTATAAAAAGCCCAAAGAAATTCATAAATAGACAGTATGCAGTTTGTTATACTTCGAAAAATTAAATTGTGAGACAAAATTCCTTGAACCTGCGAAAAAAACACCCAAGACATTACATTTAGTAACATTTCCAAATTTGCATGAAAAGGACGTTTTCCTGGAGACTTGGAGTTTAGACCTGGAGCTTCAGACAAAATTGTGTCTATTTATCAAGGGTGGGGTGCTATGTGTGTGTGTGTCGGGAAGATTTGGATGATGTTTATCGCCCCACTAAGCAATATTCCAGCTGAATGACGGCGGTCTGAAAAAAATCGAGTCCGGACCAGACAATCCAGTGATCAACAGCATGAGCATCGATCTACGCTATTGGGACACGATGACATGTGTCAACCCACTCAGCGAGCCTGACCACCCGATCCCGTTAATAGCCTCTTACGACAAGCATGGGTTACTGAAGATCAATTCTAAGACGGATCTTCACGGGTGTGTATCGGGAAGGCGGGGAAAGGGAGAGGATAGAAGATTGTGTATCGTCGTCTTCATGTCTATTTATTTTATTTCTTTACTTGTTGATTTCTTTTTTTCTTGGAAGGGAGGAGAGTTGGGGAACTGTTCTGATTTGTTTCTATATATATGTCACGACTCGCGTTTGTCTGTCCTACAAATCTCGTCCTGCAATGATACGGGTAGGTCACAACTAACATTTTGGAGCGTCTCTTCATCTATTTTGTTAGGAAAATATGAATGGATTCATTTAATGATCTCGAACATGAACCGAGTCATAGTCAGCTGATGTCAGTTTTGTTGTAACGATGTTGCATGATATAAACGTTGAAACGATGTTACATGATGTAAACGTTGTTGTAAATTATTCGAGATGTTTTCAACATATTTGTTATCTGTGGATAGAACGGGTGATTAAAAATGGACCCAGCGTTTAATGTGGTTGTACTGTACTTGATACGAGTGACTACAGTATTGTAGCACACAGATCATGCTGATCTTTTTCAGGAACAAATTCACGTTTGTTTGTTGTTTTATGCCGCACTCCGCAATATTCCAACTATATGGCGCCGGTCGGTAAATAATCAAGTCTGGACCAGACAATCCAGTGATCGACATCATGACCACCAATCTACGTAATTGTCTTAATCCATACCATACCACCCCCTGATCATGTAACCTTCCAACTTCGAAATGCTCATCAAGCATTTACATGTTAATCAGTTTACAGTGCAAACGTTATGAAAATTTACCCATAATGCAATATAGTGATTAGGATGTAGTTGTGTGGCATTTCACCAATAAGGAGAACGAGATCAAGAAGGCAGCCATCTTCATTTGAAGTGTGTTTGCGGAAAAGGTTAGCACATTTTGCCCTACCTTTAGTAACACACACACACACACACACTTCTGTGTTAGTGAGAAAATCAATTAATCCTGCTTAGATGGTTTTCATCTTGAATAGCCCCATCCCATAAAAATGCAACAAAAATAAACAAACACACGCACAAAACCCAATGCCATAAAAAGGCTACACAGCGTGCACGTTTAACATTGGACCTAACGACAGTTGTTAATGTGGGAGAAATTCAGAAATATAGATATGGTCTTGAAAAACCAATAAGCATATCCGGGGCATGTTTGGATCCATAATTACAGGATCCTGGCACTTTATACAAAGCCTAAGCCTCTGAAAATAGAAAACTGATCGAAATATATAACTCCCTTCATTTTGGACTATTGCATTACAGAAAGAGTTGGGCCGGAAGTTTGGAGTAGGAGACAGACTACTGGCATGTGTAAGGTCCCAGCGATACAGAGCGAATGTGGTTCTGGCAAGAAGGGAAACTCATTTAAAAACCTAATCTCCAAGTAATATTAGCATTCGTATTTCGGAAAATAGATATATAGATCTGGATTAGCAGAACTGATCACAGCTGGTGGCTTCATAATATCTGTTGGAACAATGCAGTTGACTACAACCGACTTGGTAGTGTTCATCTAAGTGAGGTCTGTCAGTATTTTAGAGCTGGCGTTGTATTGTCGACGTTCATCAGCTGATGAAGATAGTGATTCACGTAAGCCAATTCCATGATACGATAACTATTGTCCATTTATTAACTCTCTGCTTGAAGGACAACCCAGTCATGCGACATACTGAAATCGGGAAATTAACGACAGTTGGTCTTTTAGTATGCATCTAGACGAGGTCACCCCCTTCTGTCAAAATGTATATACGATTTCAAGGGTTTCCGCGCAAAATCTAATTCTAAAGTGTCTGTGAACGTATATACCAACTTCTGTGCGTGTATTGAATAGCTGACGGTAAATAAATGCAACTTGACAATTGGCTCTCTGAGGTACGACTTATGCAGAGACCAGTTGATATTGGAGACATACATTGTGTTGTCAATAATAGCATTTGGAATGATCTACAATCCACATCATTTGACTGACTATGCATTTATTCATTAACCATTCTCACAGGTTCACAAATATGTTTGGTCAACATTGATCTTCAGCAACCCATATTGTCGTAAGAGGGAACTAATATGATCGGGTGGTCGTTCTCACTTACTTTTTTTATGCATGCCATCGTATCCCACTTGTGAAGATCGATGCTCATAGTGTCATGACCATATTATGTGTAACTCTTTGGGGTATATCATTACTCATTACTGAAACAGAGGCCTGGATATTTTTATGAACGTTACAGTAGAAGCAAGATGTGTATATGGATATTATCTAGGAATATCTTTGAGTTGTCCATAAAAGTAGGCACTTAATGTTTTGTATTGAAACAATACGTTTCTGTCGAAATAGATCTTCATCAAATATTCCTCTGTGAAAAAATGCAAATAAGTTAAGACCAAATCGTTTCCGTGGACCTTCAACTTCGTACCAGTAATAGATTCCTGGGCCCCGTTCCTCAAAGCCATCGTAGCGCTAAGATGATCGTAATTCCCATACTTTAACATAGACTTACGACTGTCGTAGCGGGGCCCAGGCTTGAATACTCTTGAGGGTGACATTACACAAAAACAATTCTAACTCGGATGTTCGCGGGTACAAACTTACGTACTACCACGAGTTGTGGAGTTTTAGTTTTCTGGTTGACTGAGCTCAGAGAAAAGCTCAAACTGATGCGGCTCGTCGACGGTGCCACTTTGTTGAACCCTATATACCCCACTATGGGTGTAGTGGTTAGAGCGTCCGCCCGGAGTGCGGAAGGTCGCGGGTTCGATCCCCGACCGCGTCGTACCAAAAGACGTTAAAATATGGTACTTGTTGGTCCCTGCCTGGCGCTCGGCATTAATGGTTACAACAAGGACTGGTCGGCTCGGAGTCAGTATAATGTGTCTGAGAGGGGTATTCATGCTTCACTGCGGCATGGTATCTCAGTGGACTAGCACTGTAAAACCAGCTTAAGTCTGGGCTAGTACAAGCAGCCGTACATACACATACACGCGCATGCACGTCGTCATATGAGCGAAATATTCTCAAGCACGACGTTTAACCCAATTCCACCACCACCACCACCACTATGGTGTTGACAGCCAATGTCTCATGCACCTCATTACATAACTGGTAGTGCTGGTATTGGCATACACCCTGCGATACGATACATCACGATACTAAAATTTTAGTCACGACGATATATTGCCAAAGTATTATGCACTTAAGCTGCGATACGGTACGAATCCCGGTGTAGTGATGAGTTTAGTTTTACGCCGCACTCAGCAGTATTTCAGCTATATGGTAGCGGTCTGTCAATAATCGAGTCTGGACCAGACAATCCAGTGATCTCGTTAGTCGCCTCTTACGAAAAGCATGGGTTACTGAAGATCAATATTCTAACCCGGGCCTTCACGGGTCGAATCCCGGTATAAGGGTGGCGATACGATACGTATCACGATACTACAGCCTTTAATTCTAACACCAACTTCGAAACACCTTAAGATAAAAAAACAAGGTTAAATGAAAGAAACTTAATTTGGAAAAACGTCACATTAGGCATTTTTTTAAAAAACAAGTACACAATAAATAAAACAAAATCCTGTTATAAACAGAAAACATAGATCAAAAACATCTTTAATATCTGCATGTTGCTGGATGCTGTCACTGCAATCACATAATAGAATGAAATTTGTGCTGATTTTAAAAACGGTATGTCTTGACAGATATCACTATTCAGCAATATTCAAAGTTAAACATCGATGTATCGTGGCCCATTTGACGTGTCGTATCGGGATATACGACAAATGTAAAACATTGTATCGATTCTCTGTATCGGCGGCCCTTGGGTGATGCATAGATGCGTATCGATGAATCGTCACACCACTATACTGGGCCTTTCGTAAACTAAATATGTCAACATTAGTTTATACAGAATGACATTCCTGATTATCTCTAACAAAGCTCCAGTAGATACACAAAGACGTGGAAACCACAAAGTCATATAACACAATTATATCATACTGTGATAAGATTTTATGTAATTATTGACCCGTGAAGGTCCGGGTTAGAATTGATCTTCAGTAACCGACGCTTGTCGTTAGAGGCGACTAACGGGATCGGGTGGTCAGGCTCGCTGACTGGGTTGACACATGTCATCGTATCGCAGTTGCGTAGATCGATGTTCATGCTGTTGATCCATGGATTGTCTGGTCCAGATCCGATTATTTACAGACCGCCAGAATATTGCTGAGTGCGGCGTAAAACTAAACTCACTCACTCACTTATGTAATTATTAACAATGCAGATGAAAACCCATAACCGTCATGGTTTTAAGGTTAAAATCAGAATTTCCCAAATCTAAGTCACATGTTCGTTCGTTATGAGACGGATTAGGCATAACGTTTAATGAAGTTCATCTGTGTCGAGGACGAGGGCAAAACATCCGAAGTCAACGTGCGTTCGTTATGAGACGGATTAGGCATAGCGTTAAAATGAAGCTCATCTGTGTCGAGGACGAGGGGAAAGCATCCAATTTATTTCAAAGCTAACGAGGATAAACTATCCGATTTATTTAACAAAGCCAATGCATGTTCGGTTGGACTTTGTAACATGGATAAGACTTCATTATAACCCGCCGTCATCGATTCTGCCTGGATATCAGCAAATTAGGTTTTCAATTACCAATGGTTTGTGTACGGTGGTAGAGTCAAGGTTGTTAAAAATGATGTTGATGGGTGCTCATGTTAAAACGCAGCCGGTGACGATCCGGGTTAGAATTGGTCTTCTAGGAACCCATGCTTGTTGTAAGAGGCGACTAACGTGATCGGGTGGTCAGGCTCGCTGAGTGGGTTGACACATGTCATCGGTTCCCAATTGCGTAGATCGATGCTCATGCTGTTGATCACT